TTGTATCTATATCAAGTTTTCCAGAAAAAAAATAGACATTGTTTTTTATAAGATTTTTTAAATAATATAGTGTAAAATTTAATGTGGCACAGGAACCTTGAGATAATGTTTCCGGTGGAAAAAAAAACACAGCAAGCAGAAGAGACAAAAAAAGTAAAAAAATTGAAGAATAACCTTTTTGCACAACATTTTCCAAATGTTGTTAAGATCAAGTGCCCAATGCCGTAGCAGTGGATCAGCAATTTTCATCAATTTTGGTGGATACGGATTCCAGTCAGTTGGAGTACAGTCCAACAATTCGCTACCCGGTGGAAGAAAATATGTATCCAAAAATTTTATCAAGTCTTCTTTGGGGATATTTTCCAACGGAACATCACCAAAAAGTTCATTAAATGCTGCTAATGTTTCATCTGTAACAGAATAAACATTAGAAATTTGATTCAGAAGTCTACAAATCTGTGGCTGCTTCTACACCTAAGCTATTACTGTGACATATCATTGCAGAAGGAAAAAACAACTATTTTACCATAGCTGTTATTATTTTTGATTAGATTTATTTCTTCTAGACACTAAATACCGTTTTAAGTTAAGAGTTTAGATGAAAAACAAAAGTTTTAGTGGAACTCATACTTGCATCATATTTCATTGGCATGTCCACAAATGTTTTTGAGTCATTAAAAATCTTATGTATATTAACCGCTTCCAGAAGTCTTCCAGAACAATAGATAAACCTGTAAAATATATGCTTACATAATTCTATTTTCTACAGTTCTCTTTCTTTTTTTGGTTTTATTTTTTAGTAAGTTCTAGATTTTTTCTAATATAGTTAAAATTTAACTTTAAGTTAAATTTTAACTATACTAGAAAAAATCTAGAACTTACTAAAAAACTTATTGAAAACTACTGTTACCAGTTCTTTGAATTGGTTTCATCGCAAACACTGACTGTACAATTGGGTCCCGGCAGTTCATCGACCACTGCTACCAATTCGGCTTCAGATGTTTCCTCAATACGTTCATCAGGATATGCATCAACAACGGCTACAGATGAACACCAAAATATGACAAGCAGCAATAATGCTGATAGTAGATGTGATTTTTTCGACCTGCTATAAGGTGTTTTTGTTGTTTGAACAAACATAGCAGATAATAGTAATAATAATAATAATGATAGCGTAATGCAAAATGCTAAAATGATTTTTGTTGGTTCTGAATGAACTGAAACCGATAGTGCATTTATAAACTGATTTCTGCACTAACAACTTCCCTGAAAATGACACCAATCACTCGATCAAAAGTACAAAAACAAAAAAAAAAAAGAAATATGAAAAACTTGACGATTTGTTGTAAAGTACATTTAAAAATGAAACAACAGGGGAAAAAACATACAAAAGAATAAAAAACAAAATATAACATTTTTTTACGTCAATCACTTGAAGAAAAAAAAGAGTTAACGATTATACGATAGTTCAGCACCAAAAATTCTCTTTGTATTTTAGTTTCTGTTCAGAATTGTAGTCTTCTTTGTTCAATTATAAATTTTAAAGAACAGCAGCGTCCTTTAAAATAAATAAATAAACAAATACCTGAAATAAAACAAAAAAATAAAAAACCCAAGAAGTTTTCTTCTAATTTCAAAGTAAATCTTCCTCTGTCCAATTTTATGGTTGCTGTTGTTGCCTCTACTTTCTTCTTCGTTTCCTCCTAACTGATTTTGTCCACAAAAAGGATAATTGCACTAACAATGCGTTGACAAAGTGCAAATGCTCTAAGCTTTTATCACTTCCGTTCACTTTCATCATTTTCTTCTGTTTAAATCTTTCTTTCTTCATGTCTCCTCTTATCCTTCTCTTCCGAAAACCCTAAAGCAAAAACAGTTTCCATTACATTTTTTACACATTTAGCTTAATTGTAAAATTTGGGTCACTGTTTTATCATTAAACAACCGCCACCAGCAAACCGTTTGGATTCCAAGCAGTTAGTAGACAAAATTAAATTGTTCAACCAACTATAACGCATGCAAAACTGCAGTCACTCATAAGCATTCTGTTACAACAGCTGTAGAACATAAACGTGAGCAGAGAATAAAGAAAAGGCAAAAATATATATATATATATTTTATTTTACCAACGATACTGTTTATCCGGCATTTAATATATTCGATCCTATTTGCCGTTGAGGTAAGCTTCAGCTGACCAAACAGCAACAGACGGACAAAAATAAGGTAAAAACTTGTTGCAGTGAATTTTTTGCAACAAAAGAAACCTATAAAAAACTTGATTTTTCTCCAAAACACCTGTTTTTAGCTCATCAGCTTTTTTCTCTTTAACAAACCTGTGAAACTTTTTGAATAGAGTGGAAAAGACGCATACTTAAACGGTTTTCTCGAAATTACACATATCAATTTTCAGGAATTATTAACACTAATGTATGTGACGGTATTCAAAATGTGTTCACCAATTACTTGTTTTAAAGTATGTTGCTTTAAATACCATTAGAGCAGAAGGAAAATTTTTTTATCTTCACTTATCTTTAATCAACTGAAATAATTGTGAAGATCATCAAATTCATCTTTGTTGTTAAGTGTTTTTGTCATAAACCAAAGAACACCCAAAAAACAGTTAACAGGATTGGATGATGGCAACAATGCTGATATCAAATGGTAATGACGATTCAGATGGTTAGTTCAGTTTCGTTCTTTGTTTTTTTTTTTTTTTTTTTTTTTTTTTTTTTT